CAGGAATGTGTGAAGTAACAAATGGCTTCTCTGGTTGGCTCTGTTTTGCACTGTGTTTTTGATGTAGCACTTCTCTTGATGAAAGCTCTTTTCTAACACCAGGGTCAAGGAGTGATGTTTCTTCAGTAGGTCACCTCTGGTGCTTGATTCACTTCTTTTGTAACTGCTGTTTAAAGCTTTCCTTGCAAAAGAAGCCTGTCCAAGATGCCTACATGCCGTTCGGGGCTTCTCTGGTTGGCTCTGTTTTGCACTGTGTTTTTGATGTAGCACTTCTCTTGATGAAAGCTCTTTTCTAACACCAGGGTCAAGGAGTGATGTTTCTTCAGTAGGTCACCTCTGGTGCTTGATTCACTTCTTTTGTAACTGCTGTTTAAAGCTTTCCTTGCAAAAGAAGCCTGTCCAAGATGCCTACATGCCGTTCGGTGTCCTTCTTAGCTCTGATTTTGGTGTTTTTGCACATGGCCACAAGAGTGTGCTGGAAGACCGTGCTGCTCCCAGCAGTTCCTGGCACACAGGGAGTCTGGCTGTGCATCACTTTGCTGCACAGAGTACACGGTTACTTCCCCCAGTACAACTGGAGACCAGTGTTTGCGACTGGGTGACTGTCCCAGTGCAGTTAGGCAGTGTAAATGCAGGAACAGCTGACAGAAGATTCAGTCCCTAAAACTAAACAGGAATTCAAGGGTTTTACTGTATTTCCGCTGACCTGTGAACATTTGTATGCTGCATATTTCCCTCTTACAGGGATGTCACAGAAATCACTCTCTACCTCTGCAGACATGTTTTGGTCTTGAATTTGACATTGAAGCACACACAGAAGTGTGAACATTAACTTCAGTAAGATCTCAGGTCAGCATGTATTAGCAGTGTGATGAAACTATAAAAGCTAATACGTGCCTAGCTGCATATCTAATTTGAGAGTTAATTTCTCACCAATGTATTGCAAAGTGATGTAAAAAGTAGCCTACATAACTGCTTAAAAATGAAGCTGAAGACCTCGATTTCAGTGAGCAATGCAATGTGATATTCAGTCTTACATTCTTACAAAAGAGTAGTAGATTCAAAGTTTGTTTTCAGCCTGTTTTGTAAAGAAAAGGGATATATCTAGGTCCGTTTAGTTTTAAGACTGGGGTTGAGGTTCAGGAATGACTGTGGTTCTCAGCAGCAATTTATGCTAGGCCTGTTTAAAAAATAATGCAAAGTGCAGGCATGTTTTTCAAATATTGTCAGTTGTAGCTGGTAATAGCTGCAGTTTAGGAGAAAAAAGAGTCTACTTGCATTTCATCAGAACTGTCAGCAGGTTAAGACTTTGAATGTACACTTTTATTAATAAGTGTTATTTCCTTTTGAATATTAAACCAGGAAATATGATTTCCTCTGTGCTTTGCTAACATGTCTCATACTGTATTTGGTTTTTGTCAATGGGAAAATGTACTCTATACAGTACTTTGTTTGGAAATTGGCTTTTGGCAAGAACTTTGGAGTGAATTCACTTTCAAATGTTGTAAAATCTTTCAGGTAACTTTTATATTCAAATTTATACTTAGAAAGCAAGAACTAAGGTGTATGCTGTTACACTTATGTCTCGGTTT